CTCCAGTGGTCAACATTTGTGACTAAATAAAGTGCTTTATTTGGATAGAAAATTTTCCAGTCTTAAAGAAATCTTAAGCTAATTACCCATATGCCCATTGAGAAATGTTGAACATAAAAGATTAAGTAAAAACTCAAACACTAATAAAATTAAAATTCTAGTAGGTGATGTATATCACAAAGAAACAACATAGACATACAAATTGGCTGAATTTGATTCATTTGGTTATGTTTTTTTCTTTTTAATATGCCTACTTTTGGTCTTTTTATTGTGTTCAGTAACTACATGATACAGAAGTCCCAGCATACTGAAGAAAGGTTTCAAGTTTGTTAATGTGAAAAATTAACCCAGTATTGTATGAAACAGTAACACAATAGTGCTTAAAAATGAAAGTTAATATTAAGTTTTTTTCAAGAAATGTGGAGATAACTAGGTCGTCCTGAATTTAATAACTATGTAAGTGTTTTAAACAAATGTGGAGATAACTGGGTCGTCCTAATTTAATAACTATGCAAGTGTTTTAAACAAATGTGGAGATAACTAGGTCGTCCTGAATTTAATAACTATTCAAGTGTTTTAAACAAATGTGGAGATAACTGGGTCGTCCTGAATTTAATAACTATGTAAGTGTTTTAAACAAATGTGGAGATAACTGGGTCGTCCTGAATTTAATAACTATGTAAGTGTTTTAAACAAATGTGGAGATAACTGGGTCGTCCTGAATTTAATAACTATTCAAGTGTTTTAAATAAATGTGGAGATAACTGGGTCGTCCTGAATTTAATAACTATTCAAGTGTTTTAAATAAATGTGGAGTTAACTGGGTCGTCCTGAATTTAATAACTATTCAAGTGTTTTAAACAAATGTGGAGATAACTGGGTGTCCACAAAGCCAAACGATTTAAGATCAAACTAGCAGCTAAGACTTAGTTTTGTGTTTATAAAACATTATGTAGAGTTTTAAGACTAAACTGTGTATTGTTGTTGATAGGTGTTGCTTCCTCCAGACTATGAAACAGCTTCCAAGCAGCTTCCTAACCTACCCGTTTACTCCCCTTCACTTCCTCCTCCCTCTTACACTGAAGCTACCACTGCTGCTAATACTTCTGTTGTCATCACTGACAACAGCAATGTGTAGCTCTCCACTAAGCTGGGACTTCAGAATCTGCCCTGATGGTTTGAATTTGACTTTTGTTTTTCTTGTATTCTATTAACGAGTGTTTATTATACATACTTACACAGTACAGGTTACCTGTGTGCATAGTAGACAGTTAAAACTGTACTGACTTACTAAACTTCAATATTATATAAGTATTATATGTCACAAAAAATATACAAGTTTAATTTGTTCAAGATGTTAGAAAAACATGTAGGTTCAGAAAGTCTTGATAGAAATGAACAAAAAAACCTTATAACCCGAGCTCTTTCAAAAGCACTCGGGTTATAAGGCTTTTATTAATTTCTATCAAGTTTAATTTGTGTGAGCTATTTACAACTTCCATGAATCAATAAAGGTCTGATGAACAGAGAAATAGAAAGTAGCACATTAAAAAAATGTAGTGTTTTCTTGCTATTGTCAGTCTGCCTTCTTTAGTACAAGTGTGTGAAAATTGTTTAATGTTTTCATAAGTGGAATATTTATAATGTGCTATACTTTGCAAAGTTCGTTATTATGAAACACAATTAAATCTTGCAGATAGCATATTCAATGTTTTAGTTGTATTTAGGAAAAACAGGCCTTTAATAGATTGAACAGCTCTGGTATACATCTACAGTACTTCCTAGGAGTGAACCCTCATCATTTCTTTTATGGTTTAGAATCGAGAAAACAAAATCTGTATATTGAATTAATGATACTGAATAGAATTGGAACTGTTATTTATTACTTAGGTAACCATATTTATAATTTCCAATAAAATGATGTCTAGTAAGTTTGGATTTTACGTTGAAATTGTGAGGATGTTACATGAAAATTTATAGAGGTTTTGTGATTCTTTATGAGCTACACTTACTAATTAACTTAGAAGACTAAAGGTTATTTATAAACATTATATCAGCTTAAGTCTCGGTAGGTTTTTATTTTCTGGCATGTAGTATGAAACATGTAAAAGTCATGCAGGCTACATATCTGTTCTGATCATCTTTACACAAGTCAATAAAAAATATATTTATAGTTTACTGAGTCAGTTTTCTTAAAGCTAGAACATGCTCTGTACATGCTTATAGGCTTTACTTGAGGGGGTGTTTAATGTAAAACATGTTTATATACTTTACTTGAGGGGGGTGTTTAATGTCAAACATGTTTATATACTTTACTTGAGGGGGTGTTTAATGTAAAACATGTTTATATACTTTACTTGAGGGGGGTGTTTAATGTAAAACATGTTTATATACTTTACTTGAGGGGGATGTTTAATGTCAAACATGTTTATATACTTGAGGGGGGTGTTTAATGTAAAATATTGTTAAGGGAATTATAGTTTGGCATTTGTCACAGGCTTTTTTGTTTAATGTAAAACATGTTTTATGCTACAGATTTGATGCAAGTATTCTATTAATTCTTCTTACTTTCAGTTGTTTTGTTTTTAACCTTTGATCAAAGCAAGTTACCTACATAGAATGTGACCCACTCATGAATAGTTGATATACTGTACTTGCATATGATAATAAAAATGTATTGTATCATCAGTTGTCACTATTAGCAGTATTTTTTGAAATCAAAATACTTGTTATGAGTAAAATATTTGTAATTCAATAGCTGAGTATAATAGAGTGGTGCCATTACTAAAACTTGTATACCAGGTTTCTTTACCAGATGCGACTAAATACGGAGGTTAACTAGAAACCAGAGAAATCTGTAGTGTGTACTCAACTATTTGGATAAGAGTGTAAAGATATTTTCCCCCCTTTAAGTTTGAGCAGATTATACCATATTTGATATATTATTTGTAAAAAACCAAAAAACAAATGTTTTATAAAAATATATTGTAGTTGTTGTTTTAGGTTCTGTGGGAAGTTTTTGTTTTCGTTACAACTGAAGTTTTTTTTTGTATAGAAAATACTTTTTTTTTCTCCCCATTATCTAATACTTGTTCGTATGTTAGGTAGTGAAAATATTTTTACAAAATAAACGTGCTAGTTGACTATACGCTTCTCCTTTTCATTTGATTGTTTTTTTTTTACACAAAACATGGATACTGTTATTTTATTGAACTTGAATGGTTGAGTCACAAAAGGATGTGTAATGTATTATTTATTTTTTAAACTTAATACAACAGTTTTGAAAGTGTGGAAATTAATTATTATTTTCTGTGAAACTTAACTAAGAACCAGCGAAGTAATCTACACAAGATTTCATTAAATGTATTAACCGAGCATACAAATATATATTGTGAAAAGTATTCATTTTTACTTGGATGGTGAAAATAGCACCAAGCTATATCAATAATTGCTTTAACTTTCTTTCTACATATCTGTAAGAAGAAAAAGGTTGTCTGTAGATCTTGTAGTTTACTTCTGGAGGTTAAGGTTACCGGATTCTTCTTTTTTGAACTGATAGCACAGTTTAAATGGGTGTTCTGTTTCTGGGAAGTGTTTGTCATTATGATAGATTATAGCCACTGTAAATAACGCACATGCTTTAAGTGTAAAGTTTGTAGTAGTTAAGAATTTATGAGTTGTTTAATACATATATATATTTTTTTTGTTGTTGTGGTATTTTTTCTCTTGCATTAAATGTTTACATATTATTCCCACATTTAGAAAATATCTTGTTTCCAGATTGATCGAAATTTTTGTAACTTTGACTTAACTGAGACAAAGAAAGGAGCAACTAAGTGCTCACTAGTAGTGTATAAGATGTGTTATATGAAGTTCAAAACTTTTATGTATTATTGAAAGCATTTCTCAATAAATGTTTTTGTCTTTCCCTGAAAAATATTACTTACTACAATCAACTAACTAAACACACAAATTATGAACAAAAAGTAACGCGTAGTTTCCAATAGTTGACGTTTAGTTTGATGCTTGAATAGCTGGAAATAATATCTGTAATAATTGTACCATACAATATTAGACAATATCTGTACCATACAATAACTGGACTGTACAATAACTGTACCATACAATATTAGACAATATCTGTACCACACAATATTAGACAATAATTGCAATAACTGTACCGTACAATATTAGACAATAACTGTAATAACTGTACCGTACAATATTAGACAATATCTGTACCATACAATGTTAGACAATAACTGTAATATCTGTACCATACAATGTTAGACAATAACTGTACCATACAATATTAGACAATAACTGTACCATACAATGTTAGACAATAACTGTACCATACAATGTTAGACAATAACTGCA